AGATCTTTCATTAGGGTTTCTTTTTTTTTTATTTTTTTTTTCTTTTTTTTCGTGTCAGAGTGTCTTGGCTTTCCATGCCTGAATACTCTCATGGGCTTTTCAGCCAGATCGGAATGCCTTTAGGGCTGATTCTGAGGCCAGAGTGCTGTTTAGGACATCCGCCATTCTATGGGTCTGCTGAGTATCTCGCTTCCCATGTTGGATCACTCTCCCCTTTATTTATTCTATCGGTTAGTATTCGCAGGTACTAGACTTGTTTATGTGCTCACTTTGACTCTTAGTCCTTTCATTATGATCAATTGTGAACTGAAATTGATCACTTGGACTAGTGAGATGGCATTGGTACATGCCACCTTGATGGGATTAAATTGGAGTCCCCTGGTATGTTTCTAACTCTACCATTTGGGGCAAGTCAGCTTGAGCATGTCCCAAATTGTACATCTCTTCCCTCTCTTATTCCCACTCTTATGTTTAACAGGGATCACATTTCAGTTAAATTTTAACACTTAAGAATAACTGTGTATTAATTACAGAATTAAACCAGTCATATTAAGTAGAACAGACAAAAAAAAAAACTACTAAGAGGGATAATGTATTAAGTTGTTCATTAACAGTCAGGGCTATGCTGATCAAGTCACCGTTTCTCATAGTGTCCATTTCACTTCAACAGGTTTCCTTTTTGGTGTTCAGTCAGTTGTCACCAATCAGGGAGAACATATGGTATTTGTCCCTTTGGGACTGGCTTATTTCACTCAGCATGATGTGTTCCAGATTCCTCCATTTTGTTGCAAATGACTGGATTTTGTTGTTTCTTACTGCGGTATAGTATTCTAAAGAGTACATATCCCATAATTTCTTTATCCAGTCTACCGTTGATGGGCATTTAGGTTGGTTCCAGGTCTTGGCTATTGTGAATTGTGCTGCAATAAACATTAGGCTGCAGACCGCTTTTTTGTTTGCCAATTTAAATTCCTTTGGGTAAATTCCAAGGAGTGGGATGGCTGGGTCGAATGGTAGGGTTATCTTCAGGTTTCTGAGGAATCTCCAGACTGACTTCCATAGTGGCTTGACCAGTTTGCATTCCCACCAACAGTGGGTTAGTGTCCCTTTTTCCCCACATCCTCGCCAGCATCTGTTGTTGGTAGATTTCTGTATGTGAGCCATTCTAACCAGGGTGAGGTGAAACCTCATTGTGGTTTTGATTTGCATTTCCCTGATTGCTAGTGACCTTGAACATTTTTTCATGTGCCTGTTGGCCATTTGGATTTCCTCTTTTGAAAAATGTCTATTGAGGTCCTTGGCCCATCTCTTAAGTGGGTTGTTTGTTTTGTTTTGAAGGCAGAGTTACAGAGGGAGAGAGGGAGAGAGGAAGAGAGTGAGAGATTTTAAGATGCCCATGCCCCATGTCAGAGTACCTGGGCTGGATACCCAGCTACTGCTCCTGACTTGGGCTTCTTGCTAAAAAGACCCTGGGAGGCAGCACTGATGGATCACATGGTTGGGTTCCTGCCACCCGTTTTGGAGACCTTGATTGAGTTCCAGGTTCCCAGCTTAGCCCAGTCCATTCTTGGCTGCTGCAGTCATCTGGGGAGTGAAGTAGCAAGTGGTGTGTATTTGTCTTTTATACCCAGTGATCATTTTTCTTATTGTATACCCCAGTAATCTAAACATCTTATATTGCTTGGAGAAGCCCAAATATTATGAGCTTAATAGTTAACTCATCAACTAGAAGCCATTAAGATTATCTTAAAATCTGCTGTTTTACTCCCCAAATGGCCACAGCAGCCAGGGCTGAGACAGACTGAAGCCAGGAGCTTCCTCTGGGTCTCCTTTGTGGGTACAGGAGTCCAAGCACTTGGGCTGTCCTCCACTGCTTTCCCAGGCACATCAGCAGGGAGCTGGATCAGAAATGGAGCAGCCAGGATTCAAACAGGCACCCATATGGGATGCTGGTGCACAGTGATTTTACCCGCTATGCCACTGTGCCAGCCCCTACATCATCTTTTGATCTTACTGTAGTTAATACTTGAAATGTGAGTTTATTTTCATGATGATATATGCCAAACTAATAACTTTATCTTTATCAGTTGGGGTCCTGGCAGAAAAAGATATCTCTCTGAAAAGGGGAAGATTAGAGGATTTAATAACGGAAGGACCACTAATAAGGAGTATAGGCAAAATATATCATATATGGTAGCACCATGGGTGGCATAATATTTCTATGCCTGAAGAGGCAGATAAAGGCAGCAGTTAACCAGATTCGGAGCTATAGTTGAGGGTTGTTTGCAGCAGTTGGGGCTATTGCCAATGAAAGCAGCTATTGCCAATGTAGATAGAAGAAGCCAGGAAATAGGTACTCCAATTTGACTCTTTTCTGCCTTTCAGATATTCTGCAAGTGTCAATTCTATGCCATACACAAAAAGAAGTCACAGGCAATGACCTTACAGGCCAGCTTCTCATTGGCACAGAGCAAGGAGGAGATAGGTTGTAGACACGGAGGACCAGAAGGAATATTCTGCAACCCCTCCAAAGCCTGCACTTAGATAAAATAGTGTTTCCACTTCTATCATTCTGTTGGCAGGAAGAAGTTTGCATGTTAATAGATGGACTAACTTAATTTATTCCTCTACCAATATTGTAAACTATTTTTTTAAAAAATGTTACATAGCTTTGTTTTCTTATTTTTCCTAGTAATATCCATTAACTAAAACTTGCCACTCTGTGTGTGTGTACTATACATAGTGCAATAGAATGATTGGGATGGGTTTGGGAAGGGTATGGGAAAACAGAACAAGAGGACTGATTGAAGGCTATTTTTAAAAAATTTATTTATTTGGGCTGGTGCTGCGGCTCAATAGGCTAATCCTCCGCCTAGCGGCGCCAGCACACGGGTTCTAGTGCCGGTTGGGGTGCCAGATTCTGTCCCGGTTGCCCCTCTTCCAGGCCAGCTCTCTGCTGTGGCCCGGGAAGGCAGTGTAGGATGGCCCAAGTGCTTGGGCCCTGCACCCGCATGGGAGACCAGGAGAAGCGCCTGGCTCCTGGCTTTGAATCAGCGCAGTGCGCCGGCCACAGCGGCCACTGGGGGGTGAACCAACGGAAAAGGAAGACCTTTCTCTCTGTCTCTCTCTCTCACTGTCCCTCTGCCTGTCACAAAAAATTATTTTTGTTTTATATAAAAAGCAGAGATAGAGTTAGCACTAGCTAGCTTCCACTTGCTACTTCACTCCCCAAATGACTGCAGCAGCCAAGAATGGACTGGGCTAAGCTGGGAACCTGGAACTCAATCAAGGTCTCCCAAAGGGGTGGCAGGAACCCAACCATGTGATCCATCAGTGCTGCCTCCCAGGGTCTGTTTAGCAAGAAGCCCAAGTCAGGAGCGGTAGCTGGGTATCCAGCCCAGGTACTCTGACATGGGGCATGGGCATCTTAATTAAGAGACTAAATGCTCATCCCAGGTACAACATTTTGAGTGAAACAAAAAAAGCACTACCTAGGAATTCCGTTTTGGGTAATTTGTTAAAATAACTTTGTTTCTATTCTAGCTAGTCTGTTTGTATGCTATTTGTACTATTGTCTCTATAGTACCCTTGCCTCTATTTTAGCCTAGTAGTATATAATGTTGACAGTTCATGTAGACAGATTTATCTGAACGGCTTCTAGTTCATGAGTCAACTATTAAGCTCATAATATTTGGGCTTCTCCAAGCAATATAAGGTGTTTATATTACTGGGGTATACAATAAGAAAAATGATCACTGGGTATAAAAGACAAATACACACCAAATATGGTTCACTATTGCATTCTGATTTCTGTTTAAAATGCTCAATATTTCATAAGTTCACTGTTAACAATTAGAATTTCTGGAGAATAAAAATACATGTTATAAGTAATTTCTTGACTTCAAAGAAATCCATAAAACAGAGTGAATGGTGTTTCAGTAAAGTATTGAGCACATATGTGAGAGACATGGAAGACCCCATTCCTGGTTGAAGACATCAAAATTAATGTATTTTTTTTCCTTGGGACTAGACATCAGAGTATAGAGCATATCAACTAATAATATGTGGACAGTGGGAGAGCATATGGATAGACTTATTATATTAGTGACAGAACGAGGTTGGGTGAGATGGGTCTTGATTCAGATTTTGAACAAGAACCTGGGCTCAAGGTAAATATAAATTGAGTTCATCTTGGGCCAGTGGCAATATTGTCCAACAGACGATTTCATAGTATTACTAGTATCCGTATTTGGGTTAACAAAGTGTAACTTGTTGTGTTTTCTCACAAACACACCGATTTTTTTCAGTTTCGCCATAAGAGTGATGATCAAGTGAATAATCGGCAGTCGGAAGTGCTCAAGGATAGCAGGTGAGAAACACGTTACTTTCGTTATTCTGAAGATTCCGGCACCCCCCAAGCCGGGTATTACTTAATGTCTTTCCCTTTTAATTAAATGTATATTTTCCCCCTCTTAGTTTTATTAAAAATTTAAACGTAATTCCCTCTCATCTTCATGGATCTTTTTATATTCAGCAAATGTGATGCTACCCACTGAACATCTACTTCAAATTCCTTTGGAATTTCTCTTGTGGAACACAGATTTATCTTGCATTTCTAGAGCTAATACTATTTAGAATTGGTACACATGTGATATTTTGTATCTAGTAAGAGGTTTCTTGAAGATTTCATTGAATTATTTCACTCATAATTTCTGGGAGATATTACAAGAGACACTTATTTTTTAAGAGAGAGAGCAAGAGTGAAAGAAAGGGGCTGGCGCTGTGGCTCACTTGGCTAATCTTCCGCCTGCAGTGCCGGCATCCCATATGGGCACCGGGTTCTAGTCCCAGTTGCTCCTCTTCTGGTCCAGTTCTCTGCTGTGGCCCAGGAAGGCAGTGGAGGATGGCCCAAGTGCTTGGGCCCTGCACCCACATGGGAGACCAGGAGGAAGCACCTGGCTCCTGGCTTCGGATCAGCGCAGTGCCGACCGTAGCGGCCATTTCGGGGGTGAACCAACGGAAGGAAGACCTTTCTCTCTGTCTCTCTCTCACTGTCTAACTCTACCAGTTAAAAAAAAAATGAGTGAAAGAAGGAGAGAGCTCCCACCCACTGATTCACTCCCAAAATGCTGGCAACAGTTGAGAGGCTGAAACCTGGAGCTGGGAACTCATCTAGACCTCCCATAGTCTACATTAACAGGAAGTTGGAGTCAGGAGCTGGGGCCAGAAATCAAACCCAATACACCTGTTTGAGAGATACCTGGGGGTCTGACATTCTATCCTATAAGCCAAAAATACCCAGCACAAGAGAGGCTTCTGGCACATTATTGTCAAGTGATAGTGATAAGATTTTTGTATGCACTTAAAAAAAAGATTTATTTTACTTATTTGAAAGAGTTACAGAGAGAGGTAGAGGGAGAGAGAGGTAGAAAGAGAGAGAAAGAGAGGAAAGGAGGGAATGAGGGAGGGAGGGGAGGGAGGGAGGGAGAGAGAGGTAGAGAGAGAGGAGGTTGGTGTTCCATTGCTGGTTCACTCCCTAAATGGCTGGAATGGCTGAGCTGAGCCGATCTGAAGCCAGGAGCCAGGAGCTTTTTCTGGGTCTCCCATGTGGGTGCAGGGGCCCAAGGACTTGGGCCATCCTCTACTGCTTTCCCAGACACATTAGCAGGGAGCATCTAGGTCTTGAACTGGCACCTATATGGGATGCCAGCGCTGCAGGCCAGGGCTTTTACCCACTGTGCCACAGTGCCAATCCCTTTGTATGCACTTTATAGTCAAATTTAGTATGGGCTATCTACCATAACATATGTGTTTTATTGCTTTTAAATTCATCTGTCAATAAAGAAACACCATCTTTAAGAATGGTACTAGAATTATAAATGCTTTAATACACAAAAATTTCCACACAATAGTAAAAATACCCCTGGAAAACTTAGCAGAAGTAGATTTTAAAACTTTATTCCATTTTTTTTCACTTTCTTTTTCTCTGACAGGGTAAATTTGTACTTCAGTCTGGAAGTCACATTAGTCATAGTTCTGAATCCCTTAAATACTGTGAAGAATATAATTTAAAAAAATCATAAAGCAAGTTAATTGTGTGTGAGGGAAAATTTTACAAAATGATAAAGGTATCAAGGAAGGCTAGGTGGCCTAGACAAAATTGAAACAGATAGTATCTGTTATTAAAGTGTCTACTAATCACTAATTCATATAATGAAATAATTTAATTTTTCATTATTAACTCACTTTAGAAAGTGGTGGTAACTGATCTTAATACAAAACCATTGTTGTAGAGATGGAGCCTTGGAAAGCGTGGTCCTGTTTTCAGGTGGATAAGCCATAAAGATGCTTGGAACCATCAGGTTCATTTCCAGTGCTAGTAGGTTTGAAATGATTGACAGTATAGCGTGGCATTAAAAGCTTAGGGTTTGCACTGAGAGGGACTTAAGTATGGATTTCATCCTGCCCCCAAAGAATTCTGTGATGTTGGGCAAGATTTTATCCTGTATGCATACCAGATGCCTCACCTATAACGTGGGATTCTGATGGGGTCTCTTCATGTATAGAGTTGCTGGGAAGGTTAAATAAGCTACTGCAAAATAGTTGGCTTCAGTGCTTGGAGAATGTTAGTATTTTCCACATAGACTTGTTGCTTCTTTAAGAGATTAAATTAATGTAGGTGTGTAATTTTTGATCTGAAGTCTTGGAGTTCTGACTGGGTATCATATTTGACAATATGATACTGCTACTTTCTCAAGGAACCTTTGATAACAGGGTCATTACTTTGAAGTATCTTTTCATATAAAGTACAACAAAATACATATACTTACATAATGAATTTCAACTAACGGCCCTAGTGGCCTTATAAAAGACTGCTGGAAAGGAAGTGCACATTCTCAGCTTTAGGCTATGGAGGACTGTTTGCTGACTGAATCCGTGAATACCCACAGAGAAGCAAATGTTTCAAGGGCCAGTGTTGTGGTGCACTGAGTTAAGCTACCACTTAAGACACTAGCATCCCTTATTGGGGTGCTAGTTTGAGGCCTAATTCCTCTGTTTGAGCTCCAGCTCCCTGTTAATGCACCTAACAATGCAGCGGAAGAAGATCCAAGTGTTGGATCCCTGCTACCCACATGGGAGATCCAGAAAGAATTCCTAGCTCCTAGCTTTGACTTGGCTATGCTCTGGCTGTTGTGGCCATTTGGGGAATGAATGTGTATATTGCAGATATCTCTCTCTTTATGTCTCTCTCTCTCTGTCTCATGCTATGCCAAATAAATAAATAAATCTTTAAAAATCAAAAATCAATGTTTCATAAGAGGATATTTCCTCAGGTCATGCTAATTATCTTTGTCTACAATGGGAGCAATTTGCAGGTGAGGGGCAGATGAGAGGGCCTGACCCTGAAATACACAGGAGTCAGGAAATGAGAACACAATCCAGGTCTCTTATGTAGGCTACAGGGACCCAGTTACTTGAGCCATCACTTGCACCTCCCAGAGTCTGCACTGGTAGGAAAATAGAGTCAGGAGCTGAAGCCAGGAATCAAACCCAGGTACTCTGATGTAGGATGTCGGGGTTTTTTTTCTTTCTTTCTCTTGATTTATTTATTTGAAAGGCAAAGTTACAGAGAGAAAGAGAAAGAGAAATCTTCAATCTGCTGGTTCACTCCCAAAATGGTTCTAACAACCAGGACTGATCTTTCTACATTCATAGTTCCATTTGCTGTAAGACTTGGCCTTCCTCCTGGTCTTTGATGTGGTGCAGGGGCCCAAGAACTTGGGCCTTCTTCTGCTGCTTTCCCAGGCACATTAGCAGGGAGCTAGATTGAAAGTAGAGCAGCTGGGACATGAATTGGTGCCCATATGAGATGCTGGTTGTTGCAGGCAGCAGCGTAACTTACTATACCACACTGCCAGCCCTGGGATGTGGTTTTCTTAACTGCTAGGGCAAAGGCCTGCTCTGGGCTCACATAGTCAAACACTTGGCCAGTCAATTAGTTTTCCATCTTTTTCTTTCCTTCAGAAATTCGAATTTTAACATTTCCCATTTACATCTTTTACTTTTCATCCATTACACTTATTACCCTCAATACTGCATCATTTGCTGCCTTTCACATATTTATACAACTTCCAACTTTGGTTGTTCTATTCCATCAAAATGTCTAGTCCTACAGATTTTAGGCATGGAGGGAGGTGTGAAGAGCCTCTGCTATCCAATTAGGTAGCCACTGGCAACATATGGCTACTGAGCATTTGAGTTGTGGCTGGTTCAAATTGAGTTATACTATAAGTATAAGCTACATACCAGATTTCAAAGACTTAGTGCCACAAAAGAATGTAAGCTATCTCATTAACAATTTGTTTTATATAGATTCTATTTTGAAATAATTTTTATACATCAGGCTAAGTAAAATATATTCTTAAAACTAAGTTTATTGGACTGGCATCGTGGCATAGCAGGTTAAGCTCCTGCTTACAATGCTGCTGGCATCCCATGTGGGTGCTGGTTTGAGTTCCAGCTTCTCCATTTATGATCCAGTTAATGCACCTGGAAAAGTAGAAGACCCAGATAAAACTCCTGACTCCTGGCTTCAATGTGGCCCAGGCAGGGCCATTGCAGGCCATTTGGGGAGTGAACCAGCAGATAGATGATTCTCTCCTTTCTTCCTCCCTGTAATTCTGTTTCAAATAAATAAATCTTAAAAAAAAAAAAAACACCTCTGCCATTCTATGAGTCTGCTGTGTATCCTGCTTCCCATGTTGGATTGTTCTCTCCCTTTTTAATTCTATCAGTTAGTATTAGCAGACACTAGTCTTGTTTATGTGATCCCTTTGACTCTTAGACTTATCATTATGATCAATTGTGAACGGAAATTGATCACTTTGACTTGTGAGATGGCATTGGTACCTGCCACCTTGATGGGATTGAATTGGAATCCTAAACAGCACTCTGGCCTCAGAATCAGCCCTTAAGGCATTCGAATCTGGCTAAAAAGCCCATGAGAGTATTTCAGGCATGGAAAGCCAAGACACTCTGGGGAAAAAAGAAACAAACAAACAAACAAAAACCCCACAAACCTAAATGAAAGATCTCTGCGAGTGAGATCCCAGTGGAAAGAATGGGCCATCAAAGAAGGAGGTACCTTTCTCTGAAGGGAGGAGAGAACTTCCACTTTGACTATGACCTTGTCTAAATAAGATTGGAGTCAGTGAACTCAAGAGGCTTCCATAGCCTTGGCAACTCATGACAAGAGCCTAGGATTACTGATGCCATAAACAAGAGTATCACTTTGTTAAGTCAGCAACAGGAGTCACTGTGCACTTACTCCTCATGTAGGATCTCTGTCCTTAATGTGTTGTACTATGT